AGGTGTTGTCTTGCTCTGTGATTCACTGAAAGCTTGTTTTCAAATAGATGCCTTTTATTTGATTTGTGGTATCTTCCTATCAGTGAAATTCTGAGAGCGTAGCAATTGGTGTCCCTGACCAGCTTTAGGTATCACTCAGATGTAGTGAGATCAGTGATCTGGTCTAGCTGAGAAAGGTAAAGAAAAAATAACTCCAAATTTAATCACATCATTCTGACCACTTCCAATTGCTCTCTTCCCTTGGACAAAAAAAGTATCACCCCACTGCCCAAGCTGTCATAGCCACATTTTTTCTCTAACACATCAAAAATACATGCATAGCAAAGACAGCAGCCCCGTGCTGCGGAACAGCAACACGTGCTTTGGCATACGCGCAACAACTACAGATGACACATGACTGTTTAATTAGGCTATAAACATTGCAAAATCTACTTGCAGCACTCTCAGCTGAAACAGTGGCAGAGCAGCTGATGCCGCAGAGGCATCGGTGGTCAGAGGCAGATGTTTTTTAAAACAGCCTGGGCTCCCGCCAGTACATCCTACCCAGCTCCAGTTGTACACATTTGCGAAGCAGAAAAGCTGAGTGAACAGTTACAAGTAAACAGACTCCAAAGCAGGCTGTGTTCTCCAGGCCTCCGTTAGCCCCATTCCAAGCATGCTGCCAGTTACTAATGCAACCTCTAACTTCATCACCAAAAATCAGTCTCTGAAATTTCCCATCTCACCAGCTGAAAGTTTCTATTCCTGAACCGTGGGTACAAAAAAGTAAAACCAGGTCTTCTCAACGCTTTGTACAGCAGCTCCTTTGTGTTGAATGTTCTCCTTCACTTCCGAGTGATGTAACAGCACCGTGTAGGAACACTCACTGAAGCAGGACCGTACCTTTCATATATATATATACACACACACACATGTATTACTTCGTCACAGCACCAAGGGTACTGAGAGACGGTAAAACAAACAAATTAAAAGCACTGTTGTTCGCTGTAATCACTATCCATCCATCCATCCAACAAAAAGCACATTTTAGATGAGTGGCATATGCTTCCATTAAACAGCTGGATAATTTCCTTTTTTTCCAGAACAAAACATACAGCAGCGTGATCCACAAGTCATATTTCCCATCAACACTTTTTTTTTTCCCCTCAGTAGTGTGTGACATGGTATCTAGTTTAATTCTAGCATAAAGTTAAACTAGTATTCTCCTGCTGAGGTAAAAAATCTGCACTTCTTTTGCAGTCTTCCTGATTTTTCTACCAATGAGAAAAAAAGCTACTTGCAGACATGAAATGAATTTGTAGGAAAAAAAGTAAAAACTAATTTTTATGCATTTTAATGCACCTGAGTGAAACCTAACACACTTTAATTATCTGATCGATTGTGCCTTACTACTGATTCATAACCAGAATGCTCTAGGTGCAGGCCTTTTCCTTGACAGAAATACCTTTCCAAAAGTATCACTGAGTATTTTTAATCACAGTTCTCTTCCCTGTGCTGTTTTCTCTGTGTGTACATGCCTTCCCAACTCCGGGCTTACAACTTCTTGAGGAAAAATAGCTTCAGCAAACCAGAGTAATTACCTCCCCACAACAGCACTTAAATTGTGTAGTAACTCTAACCATAAAACATGACTGAATGATGCTGTACAACTATGCTTGCCATTTACAAGAAAGTAAAAAAACTGTTCCTTTAGTCTGTGTCTACTGCCATCCTAGATCTGTAAATTACAAAGAAACAGATCGAGTTGATTAAGAATTTCACTACTAAATCATGCATGCATGCACAAGTGTCTTCAAAAACTCACGTCTGCTATCTCCCAAAATAATCCTGACTGTACCTCAGAGCACTGTTCTCTGTGTTCCGCATACGCAAACATAACTATGTCCCAGTGGTCTAGATGAAGCTGGTTTGCCCTTCAAAGAAAACCCAGTAACAAATTCAGTACTAGAAAGCAGGTGTTGCAATTGGTATTATATGGGGGGGAGGAAATCAACAAACTGTGATAGTGCCTAAAAAAAAAAAGAAAAAGCAAGACACAGCAGTGATACAGAAATGTCAATTCATAGAAAGAAATTAGGAAAATAAACACTACCAAAGCAATGCTGTCTTCAGCAACTTCATTTTACTTTCAATAGTGTTTTAGGGTTCACTTAATACCTGTAGAATTTCATTCAGTAATGACAGAACATGTTTAGATTTTAACCCTCATGAGTTTACAGCACAAGAAAGTGGGCTGCAAGTGTTCAAGAATTTTCTTTGTAACAGTTGAGTGGACTAATTCTCAATATCCCAATGTATTATTTTGATAGTGAACATTTTGTTTCCCCATTTCAGCAGAATTACAGCATTTATATACAGAATTATAAAAACCAAGTGAGACTTTTACATAGATCATCTGCCCTGCACATTATCCTGACCATTAGAAGAAAAATCCCTATATTGGTCAAAACTATACAGAGCAAACACCCAGGAAAAAAGTCTTTTTTTTTTATTCTATGACACTGTGTTAATACAATAAATATACAAAACTTCTGAACTACTCAGACATGCAACAGAGGGACAGAAGTGCATTTGTACAGAACCATGACATTCACCAGGATGGCAGAGCATTGTTAGTAATTTACAAAATATACAAACATCCCTCAGATAAATAAAACCAACTCCTAAATTACAGATCAATGACTACTGACATTCCAGTGTTTAAACTTCATACTTTGTATTCGATTTGCCACAATACTATAAAATGACAACTGAAGTGGGCGCCATACTCCGATTAATTAATAAGAGACTGTAAAATCTAGTTTTCTTTAGGTACAAAATATTTTAACAAGTATCAGCCTTCTGTTGTCAAAGCTAAACTCAAACTTCTCCCTCCCTTTTGGGGTGCAAAGTGTCAGAGATTTCTGGTTTAAACAATTCATGCGTAACTGAACCCTGAATTTCACTTAGGAAGTTCAAATCTGTACATTCAACCCATGACAATACAAATCAACACTCCTATACACGGAACATTAAATAGGTTTTCTCACAGAGCCTTTAAACATTTGGGAAAAAAAATTTCCCTGCCAAATTCAGGTTTTATTCCTAATGGGTTTTTTCCGTAATATAGTCTAGTAATGTATCTTATTATGAAATCTTCAACTTAAGTTAAATTGCAAGGATGATGTCCCTGGGATTCCTATCCAAGAGGTATCAAGAGAATTGCTTAAATTTAGGTTTAGAAGTAATACATAGTAGAGTTCCTAGATACAACCCTCAAGTTTAAAAGATTATGAAAAGAACAATCTTGATATACAGCTGTTGTGGAAGGATGATGCCTGATCTCTGTAGAAAATGGTGGCTTTTATCTGGAAAGCTTTTAATATCATTCCACGCAAATTCAAGTTCAATGCTAGCATGTCCACTAGTATGAAATTTTAGAGCCCCTATTACACAGAATATTTAAATTGCTTTTAACTTCATGATGCAGAGAACATTTAGAAGCAAGTATATTCATTAATAAGAACTTCAGCATAGGTGAAATGACATTTATCCAAATTCAAGTTGGATTTAAAGAAATAGTAACAGAAAGGAGACTAATAGGGACTTCACGCTAACAGTACAATACTGATCCAGGGATTAAGCTAGCGGTTTTATTTTTTGTAATGCTCTTCTGTAATTATGAAAACAGTGTAGTGAAAAAGAATCTATGAAGGTCGGTCCACATTCATGGAGGGGCCTCAAGAATTTTATGCTGTTTTACTAAAGGTGATTCACCTTAAGAGCTGAATTCATTTCAGCCACGGTGTATACTTACACAGGTTGTGGGATGTGGTCCTTCCTGTTTTCATTTTCTAAAACAGGGTTTGAAAAACTAGCCCACGTATTGTGCATAAAACTTATGAGGCAATCCAAGAATACAAATAGTCTTCAAAGGAGAGAAACGTGATGTTATGCTAAGACCTGATTATATGCTAGAATATGATGATGGTATGTACCATTACAGATTGTTCAGTTCCACAGCACCAATTTAACCTCTTAGGCCTCCAGTTCAATGAGTTTAAATTTAACTTTGTTAAACTTTTTTTAAAAAAGGGTTTTTTTTATCTTTGTTAACTTTTCCCACTCAATAGTTTAGAAGCTTTTTTCCCCCAACTTAAATCACATCACAGAGATGGCTGAGTTAACGTTAAAATGAATTCAAGTATCTGCTAAATGCCATTGCTTAAAAAGCTTGGGTTTAGACAATATACCTGTTAGAAAAATTAAATACTGTATATTTAGGTTTTTGGACAAGCAGTAAACAGAGTGACTGACTAGGCTAGAGATTTAGTACCACTAAACACAAATCTACACTTAAAAAAAAAAAATCCAAAAAAATCCCAAATACAACAAAAATACCACTGCACGTAGAAGAGGGAAGGGGGGGCAAGAAACTAGTGTTCTAAAAGTCAATATTGGTTTCTTTTCCAGCAAAATTATTACCCCAAGACATGAATACTGAAATTAAAAATAGCAAATATATAATCATTTAGCTTTGTGATTGAAGCCATCAGTTAACTTCCTTAAACTGTACACTGCATTACACATTCTATTACAGAGAATGTTTATGCACCATAGTCATTTCTCACAGGTAGAGAATACTCCATGAAAATAGATACAAACAAACGCTATAATTATAAAGTGGCGCAGGTAAATTCTGGACCAAAGCACTATTTAAACAAGATCAGATAACTCAACAGTATTCATGCAAACTTACAGGTTTATATCAAAAGACTTATCCTAAAAAAACCCCAAGAAAAGAATTTATACTACTACCCTACTTGTATTTGTCCTCCAGCAGCTGCTGAAATTGCAAAAGCAGTAGCCAAACCTAACTTTTCTACATCTCTCAGTCTACCCCACTTCTTATAGTAGAAATAGGGAAAACAGTTTTTATGAAGAAACCTAATTGATCCAAAGTGCTTTCCTGAAGTTAAAAAAAAAAAAATTACCAGAGTGAACTGCTAAAAAACCTTCCAAATTCTTAATGCATTGATTTGATCACTATATACCACAATTCATTCTCAGGCCAATTGTTGAAATTATTTATCCTCCATGAAATATGGAAGGCTTTATATTCTAGAATGCAACATCTTAAAGAAAGGCAAAGAATGGTTATCTTTTTAAAATAAATAAATTTATAATAAAATAAACCAAACGTTTCCCATTTTACCCATGCACAGCTGCAGAAGAGACAAACATGCTGTGTGAATTTTGATCTAGGCTTTTAGGGAATAGAATAAGTGACTGGAAAGTAAAGTACAATCGAAGAGAACTGTGATGACTTTTTAATGTTTCTCTACATTCGGTTACCCTTGAACGCATTTTGAGCTGCGCTGGTTGCTGCTGTTGATGCGGCGCTGGCTGCAGCAGTTTGTACGGTTTTGTTGGACATCACTCCTGTTGCAAACTCCTGCTGCGCTTTCTCAAAACTAGCACCAGTTGTGCGGTAGAGACCATGCACCTAGGGAGGTGGAAAAGCAGTGAAAAAAGAGTGTACCTCTCTCAAGCAGGAAGGCAAAATCCAGATCAAACATAGGAAATAGAAGAGGAAAATAATATGTGACTTACCTTTTTAAACATAACTAATGAGATAACAGCAGATGCTGTGAAAAGTGCAGCTATGATGATCATCATAATGCCAACAGGAATACTCTTATTAAGACCAGTAAGAGATGAAATCCACCCACTGAAGGAAAAAGACAGGACAAACTTCACTAGCACAGCACATGAACCATTCAACCACAGGTATCCACATCATGGGAAGCTTTATAACCTCCTGGTTCTGATCAACTTCTAGTATTTTTGGAGAAAAAGTCATGGGAATTTTGCATAAGCACATTTGGGTTCTATAATAAGCTTTTAGAACTTAGTTTCCATTTTTCCCAATGCATGCAGTGAAACTATACAAAAAGATGTAGTAAAGATTATTATTATCCTTGAGCAGAATTGTGAAGAAATTAGAGAGTTGCTCATCAACTTTCTGGGGTTTTTCTGTCATACTGTCATTTTCAGACTGATTTAAGACTACATGATTTCATGGTAGAGAAAATGTCCCTAAAAAGATAGCTTCTAGCTTCTTCAAATATAAAACAAAAACATGCCACACACACAGCTTCTATGTGAGAAGACTCATTTAATTGTATCCACACAGTGATGCTTTCTCAATTGAGGTTAATATAATCATTTCTTGAAGCATCAGATTAACTAATAGAAAAGATTGCTATGTCAGTATCTACTTCAAATATTTACCTTTTCTTCAAAATTGAAACACCAACAGAAAAATACAATATCAAACTTGAAACCACAAAAAGCAGGCTGCCATAAAAAAAATAAAACATCAAGACAGAACAGATTCTTCCACAGAAAAAAAAGCAAAAAGTTTCTGTAAATCCAAACAACTTTAAAACTTTCCTCTACCCATTTCAAATTGCTTTGATATCCCCTATGTCCAACTGGACTCTCAGAACTCCAAAATTGAAACTGTAATTAGCATTTTATGATGATCTGGCTACTCTTCATACCCCTTCCCCAAGTATCCTTAAAAGCACAATCCACATACTTGGAAAGTTGACCCTCTAAAATACATTGATTGACATTAACAAAATAAAAAAGTATCTATGAGAAAGCAAAATAGCAGATTTGAGAGCAAAAATTATAAAATATGATCTTTCCTTACACAACAGTTCTAAAGCAATGCTGTTTTGTCTGCCTTACGTATGTTTGGAGGTTAGCGGCAAAAAGCACTGAAAAAGAGAACTGTCATTACCCAGCTACAGTACTGCCAGTCATAGCTCTCTATAATACCAGCTGGCTACTACAACCATGCTTTTAGGAAATTCAAGTTTGTTGGTTTCTTTTCCAAGAATGGTGACTGATTCCCAACAGCTTTTTCATGTAAAATCTGAGTATTAGACCCCAAACACTCAAATAAAAGATAATATACATAAAAGCTTCATGTAAAAGCTTACTGTACTTACAAACATCAAAAAGAAAAATTAACTATTACAGAATAAGGAGATGACTCGGACAAATGAGCTTTTCAAATAATATCAAAGATATACCACTATATTCACCTGAATACATTGTTGACTCATTCTTCAAATTTTAGCCATAAATTTCCTTAGTAAGTAGTAAGTACATTAATATAATCAGAAATACTAATGATACAAAATAATATGCAAACAGTATACTGTTACAGTCTAAAGTATTTTCATTTTCTCTAAATTTTGCTTATGTCTTTGTCTTAAACATAGAGCAAGTTACATCTCCACACACCACCAAAACAGAGGAGGTAACGTATAAAAGAGTAGTTCAAAGTGGTTTACACACTGAAGAATAAAATTTTGACCAGCCTAATAACAGAATTACCTCACACTCTTGTGATACATTTCACCCACTTGTCCTAGTTAAGAGCACTCCAAAAATCCTTTTTTTTTGAGTGCTAAACATAACAATTCCAGTGAACACAAGATTTTTTAAAAACATACACAGACTGTATTGCAGTTGCTATATCAAGTATGAGTGTTTGTCTTACAGACAGTACAACGCTACAGCAAAAAAAATACTCACCAGTTTCCCCATCTTTGAAATCCTGCAGCCTGAAGCACATGTATAGCAAACTGACAGATATATACAAAGAAGAACACAAAGAACCTGAATGAACTGTCACTCCTGAAAGAGGAGGGAAAAAAGATTAAAGCAGCCAGGAAATTAATGACTATTTGCAAATACTGTAGTACCAATCTAAATTTTTTTTCTCTATTAACTAGAGGAAAAGTGCTTCCATTTATTGACAATGACTTGAAGTATCAGTAATTCTGTGGTTTTGTAGAGTATTTATTTTAGAGGAGCTGCTCCCTCTTCTTTAATATTGTATTCTTGCCACTTGCACCTCTAACAGAGGTGAGAATAGCAGCAAGATACTATTCTTTTGTGTCTGTTCAGCACACAGCAGGGCCTCTTAGACTAAACAGAGAAGTTTTGCTTCAATGCATGGAGAACAGAATTCTGTTCCACTTTCAGACTGAAGTTCACAGTGCTGGCAGGATGGGAAGAAAATACTTTACTTGTAAAAGGAAATAAAATCTAATATGGAATTACTGAAACATAGGGCAGTCAAGAATACTGAATCAGGTGTTGCTTAAAAGCAAAATATACAAAACAGGTTTGCTGTTTAAATTACTAAAATGCCAGCCTGACAAAGGCTGAAAGTAAAAAAACAAACCAAAAAACCAAATATAAAGGTACAGGCAAAACCTCAAAGACCTCAACTTATTACTATCAAAACTAATGATCATATGATATGCTTGCTAACAGAGTTCTAAAGAAAGTAGAAATCGCTTAGTTAAGTCATAGAAACAGATTTTGCTGTTACTAAGTTCTTCCTGCAGAAGGGAGTTTGTTCACTTCTGTTTATTCAACCAGTTCAGTTCAGTAACTATTTCATTTTCAGATGAGCAACTGACCAAAAGTTGAATATGCAAGTAGCAATTTTCCTCTTCCAAACAATCAATATTCATTAAAAAAAGCTATGGATTTACTAGAGATGTATGAGTGCTCAAAGATATGTGGGTACAGCAATACTTCCTTGGTTAGCAAAAATAAGTATCTCCTTTACTCTACAGGTTAAGCTTAACTGCAATTTCTGAATTACTGCATTTTAACTAAGAATATCTTGAATCATTTCAATATAAAAAAAAAATTCCCAAGAAATACTGTAAGAGTACAGGATTTAGAATCTCTACATGCTGATGTTCACGAAAAAGTTCAATTTTGCATGCAAAACAACCATCCTATTCTTAAACACAAAGCTACCACACTTGTGAAGTCTGCAAAGATTGCTAAAAGCTAGGAAAAATACTAGAGTTTGATTACCATATACCTGCTCTACTCATTCTTAAGAATCTCAGTCTACTTCAGTTACAGACACTGTAGGTCACTTAACCGTATAAGATTTTTAAGTGTAGAGTTTTATGAAATTCATTCAGGAAGCCAAAAATTTAAGACATTCTTAACTATTAATGTACTCAAATCTTGGTGTGAAGGGATAGAGGTTTAATGAGAATTTTCCTTAAAATTGTTACCAGTCCTATACAAGGTTAAAAACTTCCTACAAGTCTTTTGTCAGTGGCAGAAGCTATAAATACTTTAAAGGATATTCCATGATATTGCTAACTATTGCCATCTATGATTCAAATACAACTGAATTAATGGCAAGCATACTACTTGTTTCTACTGAAAGCGTATTAAAGGATTATCATAACGATAATCAAGCAAATTCTGGAATGTTAATGCATTTTGACAAGTTTTTAAACATCCTAAGTCAAGCTGAAGTTGTTACCTGAAAGCTCCATAAAGTGGTCTGTACCAGCAGACAAAAGAACAAGGGGTAAAAAGCAAGAACCAGAGAATACTCAATCCAAAATCAACCCCTCGTGTAGCATCAACGTAAAACCAGGCCAAACATCCAAAGATATTAAGAAACAGTGTCACTGTATGGACTGTAGAAGCAAAAGCAAAATAGTCTTAATTAAGTTATGTTTATACAATAAATTATTACAGCTGTTAAAGTAACACCCAAACGGAGTATTTTTAAACAGAACATCACCATGCTGACAATAAATCAATACCCTCTCAATACCCTCAGCAATAAGCTGATTTTTATACAGTTTTCTAACTTTCAAGTTAAACCCTGTATTCACAAGGGACAGTACTGAATATGAAAATTCAAGTACTATCAGGTATATGGTGAAAGAAAAAATCCTGTCATAAAAAATAAAACATTTTCAAACTTAAAATGATAAAAAAGAGGTTTCTACAGCTGCAACAATTGATACTCTTTCTACAGTTAACAACTGGATACAGATGTTTAACAGACTACTGAACATTTTTTGGAGAGAAAGCTTACACATCATATAAAATGCATCAGAAATTTAGCACTGTACACATTCTAATTTGAAAATAAAAATTTCCAAAAAAATATTTCAATGAAAAGCTCTGTGTCTTCCAAGTAATAAAGCAAAAAACCCCACCAGTTAGTAAAAATGTTTCTTAGTAAAACAAGATCTGCAAAAAACTCTTCTAGATGCTTTAATACATATTGCATATTCAAATATTTCTTGTAACATTGGTCTTAAACACCTGCCTTTTTGGTGCTCCATTCTTACCTCAATACTAGCATTTTCTCACTGACAGACCTTGTTACAGGTTAACTACTGAATTTCCACTAAAGAAAATGCATTGGCACTATGACTTCACAATTTATTTCAAATACATTTAGCTCTTACAACAGAAAAAGATACAGAAGTATTAACAAACATTACAACGACTACCTTCATGCTATCTGGCACAGTAGTTAGTTCTGCCAGACTTAAAAGATCAGCATGAATTGCTGTCTTTGTTCAGCAATAACCAGTGATTCAGGAGTGATTTTGCTATGTCGGAGGACAGTTTCGGTCCTTGTGGACCAGGATAAAGTAGCATATTTATAAGCTGCTCCTTGCAGCAATGATTTTTTTATTTAAGTTCAGAGAAACATTTTAGTCATTCTCCTGGAAGGTAAGGTTAACAGAAGAACTGGCAAGATCATAAAGATTCTGGAAAAAAAGACTCCTCAAACTCTCTGCTGCCCGCTTAACTAGTACTTAAAAAGTCCTAAATCAACTCAGTGGGAAAAAAATCTTGAAGCAAAATGCCCACATCATTGCATGCAAGGCTGATGAACCTCAAAACATTTCCCTCAGACAAATTGTATTTTCCTCCAAAAGTCATCAGAAACAGAAAACCTTGTACTTTTAAATAAAAAGCATTTCATGCATCTACATATCTTAGCACTGTCACAAGAGGTCAGCCAAGCAATTAATTTCAGAATTTGCATGTGTATGCCTCAAAGCACAACAAAGGATATAAATCCAAATTCCTGCCTTCCTTTGATAAATATAAGAAACTTACTAAGGGGTATTCGTTCTTTTTCTAGTCAATACTGGAAATCAGGGAGACCCCCTAGATTACTAGAAACACCCACATTCTGGTGGAGTTTGAACTTTCCAAAATTACTACTTTTTTGTAATTGCAATTAAGGTAACAAGACAAGTTTTAGAAGAATACCATCAGTGCAGAAGAGGGCTGAAACATCATACCCACTACTGATACTTATTAGCACAATAAAACCAGCAACATAGCGGTCTACTTCACCACTGTCACAGAGAATCTCAGCTGTGAGAACCAAGCATTAGCAAGCTACGGATGAAGACATGGGACTTCACTGACAATTCTTCCTTCCCTCCCCTCACCATTCTCTCTGCCTGCTGCAAGGTGCAGAAAGGCATTTGTTCTTTGAGCCAACACCTTCACTAAATGACCTAGATAAGCTTTGCTGTTGTATGAACAGACAGGTGTTTTTATGTTCAGTGTAACAGTGTTAAGTACCTTCCACCTACTTGCCTCTTCAAATTGAACCACGATACAAGTTATTAGAAGATAATGACCACCTGGGGGCTGAAATGACCTAAGCCTTTGGCAGAAGTTGGCAACACAGAATGTCTATGAGACAATAACTTCACAGTACTCAGTGTGAAGTGATCTACGAAATACTTCTGGTTTAGCCATGGAAGCAGTTGAGGTTTTAAAAAAAACAAAACAAAACAAAACACCAAAGGGCATTCATGCCAGAATAAGAGTGAACAATGGGAAATTACTTAATATATATTCAGACTCAACTTCATTTTTATTGGTGTACATTTTCTTGTACAGTAGAACCCTACTTAGATGTACATTCCCTGTCTCAATTAACTACACTTTATCATACATTAATGTTTCAAAGTGAATTGTAGATAAAGACCACAAGTTGCACCGATGCTATTTGGCATCTACATTATTGAGATTATTATTTTGCGGTCCCATTTGGGACCACATAAAAATAGATTTTTGTAGTAAGTTTCACTTCAGTAATGTTTTATTAATGATATTCTCAAAAAACCAAAGTCCTTGCTAGGACACATGACAAAAGAATGCGCTTCTTCCCAGGAATCAGCTGGACTGTTACCCTGTAATGCACTGCCTCAAGGGGAATGGGACGCCTACAAAACGGAGGCTTTGAAGCCACAAGGCAACTGACGAGGACAAAGCTGGTGAAGTTTGATCACACGCAACCTTGGAGCACAGAGTGGCTTCCAATGTAGTGAACTACAAGGCTTTTGTTCCTTGTCTGTTCTGCTCTTTTTGGAGAGGGGACAGGTAAGATATGTACAAACACGCCTTACAAATGACAGAATTATTTTCCATAGGAAAAGATATATTCTAAAATAGGCTTAGATCAGCACATAAGCACATACTATCAAAAATGTGATGGTGTTTTTTTCTCCACAACATATATTAGGACTTCAGCTAACATACAGGACAGAGTCCATATTGTAAAATTCTTGATGCTACACAATAAAAAAAAAACATAATAATATGGAGTGGACCAAGCAGTGAATCTGTAAGACTGCAGCCAAACAACCAGACCTCTAGAAAACATAACCTACAAAAAAATGCTGAGTGAACTACGCTGATTTAGCCAAAAGGAGGTAACTAATGGGAATAAATGTGCTCTCCAAAACAACAGTGGACAGAACACAGATCAAACACAGGAAGGGAGAATTAGACTATACTCAGAAACATATTCTAATGATAAAAGACAGCAACACACTAGAACAGGCTTGGAGGGAGTTTATGACATGTCCATCCTTGGAGGTTCTCAGGAACAGGTAGAACAAACATTAACACAGACTGATATAGGTACTATTGATCATATCCTCAGACAGAAGGATGGATGAGATGAAACTCTCCTGAACAGACAAAATACCATAAAAGTTGGCACTTTAGGTATTGTTTTTCTATGAGAATCTACAGTTTAAGTCACTGGTCTGTGAAAACCTTTAAAAGTCTTGTTCAAAAAAAAATGGAAACATTCGCAACCTATATAAAGTAACAAACCCAAATGCCACAAAAGCTTTCCATGAGATTAAGCAGCTTTTAGGTTTGTAACTTCAAATAAGAAATATTATTTGAAAATCAGTACTACTAATTTTGTACATGCTATCAGCCTGTGGGTAAAGTAGCTGGAAAACACGGTCTTTTGAGCCAAAAAAATGTTGGTGTTAGATATGGGTCAAAAGCCATGGGACACTTCACTAGTAACAGCATAGGAAGATCTAAAAAGCAGTGCTCAGTGCTGAAGAGTGAGGAAAACTGTCATTCTATCTGCAAGCCACTAAAACAGCAATAAAGACAGAAAAAAAAAAGCTCCACTGGCAGCTGACAGAAGCCATTGCTAATTGATTGCTGTAGTTCACAAAAACATGGGAACACTCAGTCAGTAAAAAAAAAAGGCTCTCCCTAGGGAAAAAAAGCAAAAAATATGGGCAAAGATAAAACCACATCAAGGAACTGGAAAATTCTGACTTCTGATACAAATAGAGAAAAAAATGGATGACTTCACGGAACAGGGATACAAATAGACTTGTTTTCTCATGAGGTAAACAGCATATAGATCTAAAACAGGTACAAAAGTTTCCTCAGATACATGAAGACCAAGGATTAGGATATAAGAACTGCTACTAACCAGGAAAACGCACAGAAAACTGAAACAGAAACATTTGTTCCTAGGGCTGCTAAAAAGGAAGAGGAAGACTAGCCTACTTTACAAAGTGCTGAGCATGCAGTACTAGATTTATCCAAATGTGATTATGTTCATAGAACCCCTAGGCCTTACAAGCCCTAGGAAGTTCTGGAAGAGGAAGTAAGATGCAGGGTAGAGCAGCAAGCAGGAGCAGGCTGGTTTGCTATGGCAGTAAGTGCATCCACGAAGAAAGCATAGCCACTATAATGCAGAATGAGCCAAACTATGTAGATACAATCCTGGGAAAGAAGAGTTGCCAGAATTGATTCAACAGCCAGCCCTAAGGCACGGAGTTCTGTACTCAGTTTTGGGGTTTTTTTTTTTAGCCTGAAATAGATTTTGTCTTTCTTTTCCTTTATTATGCCCTTTTCCTTCCTTCCTGAGTAATCCCTAAGTCAGAGAGTATTAGAGCTAAAGAAGAAAAAGAGCAAGAGGACTCAGTTAAAACCTCAGTCTACCTAGAAGAAAATCTGTCATGTTAGTATAAAGGCACAACTCCTGTATATTTTGAAATACTATAACATTGCTGCTTCCTTTACTTATTGCCATTAAGACGGAAAAAGAAAACCAGTATTAATATTCCAATTCTCACTGCCCAGCTTCACCTTGTGCTTGAAACATATGGCACTTTCAGAACTCAGTCCTGCAAATGGCCAGAATTAGTAACTATCCTAATGCTTTGGAGTACTTGATCTTAGATTTCATATAAATCTTAAATGTCTGTCAGATTTATGAGAGTGACCAGTCACACATTTCTGCAGTGGATTTAGTTGCTTATTTGAAGATTAGTGACCCAGCAATGAATATAGAAAGCTGTGGATAACAGTGGAATTCACTTGATTCAATGCTGACTGCTCATTTCATGTGTTTCAATTACGTGGTTCAATCACAGTAAGAAGATTACCAGATCAACAGGTAAAATTATAGAGATTTGCTAACTAAATCTGAGGCCCTGGAAAGAAAACAGAAAAGTTCTGAAATTCACATTCCCATAGTATGCTAAAAATATATTAAAGGTATCAAAGCACCTAAATCTTTGGAATTTCCTCAGGCTTAGAGTAATTATTAGGTGCTCATCACACTGGACAAGGTAGAAGAAACAAATGTTGTGGCATTTGTACATTTGATTCATCCAGCATTTCTCCAGTCAAAGCACAGCACCTGAATGAGGGCAAAATTAACCCCACAAAAATGGTGTATTCTTGGTGTACAAAGGATAGTTTTAACATGGACTGATTCTTCAGCTCATTTACTTTACACTATTTTTAAAATAGATTAAAATGATACTAAGTCTCCACTATAGACTAAAAACTGTATTAAACTATATAAAACTATGTATATTAAAGCAAATGGATATTCTACTTCTTAAAGTCACAAGTCTATTAACACTGATTGTGAATTATATTTCTTAATATATAAGCTGATTTTAAAAACAGTAAAATTACTCCTAAGTTAATAAATGGTCATTTTACAACAACAGAGATACTTAAACCAGAAAACTGCAATATACTAGAACCAAACTGCCTTAGGATAATCCTCCTCCTTTTTTTCCTGTGGCAGTTTCTATGAAATCATTAATACATTTAAAATTGAAGCTAACAAAAAGATTTCACTTCAACATGTTGACTTCTGGATTTAAAACAATTTCTCATTACAGATGTTGCAAAAGCCAAAGTAGCAGGTATATATTATCAAGTTTGAATAGGCACTTTGTTTTTTCTTTAAAAAAAAAAAATACTTACACATCCACAAATAGTACATAATCTTTACTGTCTTCTGGAATTCCACAGGAATGTCTACAGAAAAGTCCTGGTAGAAACAAGGACCTACTGGAAAATTCTCAGGAAGGGGTGGCCAGTTATTTTTTCTACCTGCAAAACAGAAAAAAAAAAAAAAGAGCTTTATAATACAGTTTTAATCTCTGTATACTAGAAAGAGATATGCATTTGGACTTGTTCAAATTTTTCTATGCGTAAGTTTCACAAGCATATAGATAACTTGGGCTACCAAAACCCAAGAGTTTTATCAGCAATCCTCACACATACTGAAAATAAACTTCAGAAATAAAATACAATGAAGTACAGACAGATCAAGAAAAGTACATTTTATCTGTCTGAAAGACTTAGCAGGCATCTGACAGTTCCTATAAAGTAATGAGAAAAGAGAATGCTTCACAAACCTAGCACATATGGGCAGAAAAACAATTTCTTAGAGTTCCTTGACTTTTAAATGCACATTTCCCTAAATCCCACCATACTCACGTACTTTGTTGAAGACAAAGACTGGGGACTGAAAAGCGTTCTTCATTCTCAGAATCCTGATATTTTTAACACCAGGCTATCTTTAACACTTTGAGCTAGTTCCCAATATAGTTTACAGTCAAAGCTTTACCTAAAAGCCCAAGAAAAGCAGCTATTGAAATGGTCTAAACTACTTTTTTGTTACAAGAAGATGCCCTATAGTACTGTTGTATTTTGATACAGTTGTGTGACACAGTGAGGACACCACAAAGGACACAGTATCAGACACCTGGATTTCCTGTATGCAGATCTGCTCACAGGCTAGAATATATATTCTGCCAAACACAAGTCATACTAAGCATGGACTCAGAGATTCAACTGAGATAATAACTGCAACAAACCTTTACCATAGCATTTCAAATTCTGGATGCAAGAGATACATTAATCACCATGTTCCAGAAGTGGAGCTGAACTAGAGACTAACCTAAAGGCACTTCTATTTGAAATTCTGACAAGGTTTTGCTTGCAATTTCTATCTTCAACCATACCTTTACTAGAAGTTCATCTGATGAGAACAGAAAACCTCCAAAGCTTACATACTTGCATTATTTTTCATTTGTTTCCTGACTCAGACAAGATGAAGCTGTATCCAAACAGGTCCAAAGCACTTGAGTATCTGTTAAGTTTTCTGAAATTTTTACCAAGCCTTTCAGAGCAGGGGACTGGCAGAGGGAACATACAGAAGATAATCAAGTAATATTCCCACCCATATTAAAATGACTTCAGGATTTCCTACGTGAAAAGTATCTGATAATAATTCAGATCTTCATTCCACAGTATATGGTTATTTCTCTCAGGACTGATAGTTTCAAGACAGACTTATGGAAAAATTCAGGTATCTTATGATAATTCAAGTTGTTATTTAAAATTGTATTTCATGTGCTTTCCCACTGCTGTGGTACAGGTTTCAAAATTTTCAACTAAGACTGAAGTTGTTTCAGTTGTTTCAACTTCAAACTTCAAAAAGTTTCAACAGTTTGGTGAGATGGCTGGAGATGAAAATCTGAGTGGTCTTTTTCTAAATACACTTTCGATATTCATATTCCAAGATTGTATCTTGATAAGCAAAGAGCTAGCTCAGAGGTACTTCATTCAACACAAGTTACCACCTCAAGGCCTGTTAACATAACTTCAATGGCATGCCTGCACTATGAATGCAGACTCCCCCAAACTAGCTTCATGCAAGCACAAAGAGGGATTTTCAGGCATGCCCAAATGCACTAGCTGAAATAGAAAGCAGCACACTTTAATTAGCTCAAATGCAACGCTGCACAGGACCTGAGCAGAGAAAGACGAAAGACATCAAGCTGAGCTGACCTACCAGCTTGAAGATCTTCGCACTGTAGTCAATTGCATATGACTACAGTGCCCTAGAGTGCAGCCAGCATCTTACATTGAATGCAAATAGCTAGAGCATTGCAAAAAAAGACCCCGTCCTCCAATCAAGACAAGTCTACAGTGTTTCCAAAGGAGTTCAAATGAGTGCACAACAGAAAAAAAAAAAATCAAAAGGAAAAGAATATTTTTCTCCTCAGTCACAATATACAATTCCTGATTTGCAGCATCTTTTACACAGTCATTTGGTAAAAAATTAGTATCTTCTTTAAAGCTTTAAGAGCTCTCTCTTCTCTGTTCAGCCTTCCTAAAGAATCCTTTAGATTCTTCATAGATACTTCAAGCACTTCGACGTGAACAACCGCAACCTAATAACAAATACCCATTTTAGAAATACTCTGAAACACATGTGGGGTATCAGAGTTACATTCCCTAAGATACAGATGAACAAAACTGTCCCTAAAGCCTGGAAGAGAAAAGTAATCAATCCAGACCATCAACCTAAGTTAGTGAAATTAGATGAAGGGCAATACATGAAGAAGGAAATGAAAAACAACCAAAAAAATAATTATCTGGGAGAAGAGGTACAGAGATTTAATAAAGAGATTAAAAAGAACGAATATGGAGAAAATAAAAATGGTTTAATGAAGGGACACTATCACTGTGATTCTTTTCCTTAGAAGAAGAATAGCAATTCCCCATTCCCAGCTCCTAGCAAATGACTGTCCTATGACTGCTCTGTACTGCTTCCTGAGCAGGTGAAGTGGAGACGGAGGTGCTGAGCTCTTCTCCCAGGTATCCAGTGATAGGATGTGTGGAAATGGTTCAAAGCTGCACCAGCGAAGTTTAGACCAGACATCAGGAAGCATTTCTTTACCGAGAAGGTGGTCAAATACTGGAAGGGGCTTCAATGCCCCAGGCCTGTCAGCGTTTAAGAGGCATTTGGACCATGAACTTAATAATAGGCTTCAACTTCTCATCAGCCCTGAACTGATCAGGCAGCTGGCCTAGATGATCACTGTAGGTCCCTTCCAACTGAAATATTCTATTCTATTCTATAAAATTCCCTGAGAATTTGAATTACTAAGCAATTACGCAATCCGGAATTGTACCACTGTATATTAAAAAAAAAAAAAACAGCACATGTGGAAATAAAACAGAATTCTAGACACAAGTGAAAAGACCACACAAAGACAGCCTTGCACACAGTGTTCTGTGTTGGTTTTTTTCCTCTAACTTCAGTCTGAAGCTGTTCCTTTTGAAAAGGAATATTCCCATAGATCGACTTCTAGCGAAGTATCTTCAGTTAAGAGGATGTAAATCTTCTCATTGGTGAAACTGCCATACAAAACCCGATGGTTTTGCACAGCACACTTACAGTTTGTGGCAAAATGAGGTACTAATTTTAACTATGGGTTCCAAAGTGTCCTATGAAAAATTAATAAAAGATTAATAATAGATCTTTCTGCTATTTGCACAGAATATTATGTCTGTAACATAGCAGAAGAAAATGTTTCCAAACAGGAATGTTTTCCTACTGCTATAAATACTGACAGAAGAGAAATCAAAGAGATGTTACTTATGAAGTTACTTTTACTTCTTCTCAAAATGCTCTATTTGTATTCAGTAGTATTACTTAGATACTAACCTAGCATAAAAACAGCTGATAGCAGAGAGTAGCATGTAAGAGAGGCCACATTTAAAATTTTTACAGTGAAAATCTGCACAGGACAGTCCCGTTTTTATTCACTCTACGCACTGTCTCAAGGGAGATAAACTTTCTTTTCCGGAAGAGATTATAAACCCGCTCTTTGATCTGTTTCACAAAGTCACTGTAAAACTAAAACAGTCTCTAAGAAAAAGTGAAATTTCTGAAATTTAAAGTATTCTTTTCATGCATACCCCCCTGCTGATTGAGACTCTGCATTTCCCTTTCTCTGCGATCTAGTTCAGCTGCTTTTCTTTCCAGTTCTTCTTGACGCTTCAGCAGTTCTGCCTGGGCCAAGGCATGCTCCTGAACAAAACAAGCATTGTTAGATATTGATAAAAAATATGAACACAAAATAAATATTCTAAGTCTGTTTTCTACAATTAAGCACCTCCAGTTATGAAGACTGACGTAATATTGCACAAATTCATGCATTAACTGATTACTTACAGGCAGTATTAATTTTCATAAATCATTAGGAAAGCAATGCTTATAAGAGACATTATTCCAGAAGTGTATTTAAGTAATATAACTAAAAGGAACCTAGTGCCTGAAAGTTACTGACAAACCTTTGCAATTTGTGTGTAAGCAGGTGGTTCTTCCGTTGGTTTCATTATTGCTGGCTGTGTACTGGGTACATTAGGCATTTTCACATTTCCTGGAGGAGGCTAAGAAAACAAGAAACAATTACAGGGAAACAGTTTCCTATTCTAATAAACATCTTTTCATTAACTCTGTAAGAACCAATCTAGTTGTTTTAAAGGAAGTGTTACTGATAAACTAAAATCCAATATGCTGCCTGCAGTATTTATAACTTTAGGAAAAAGAAGTTAACTATATCCTGTGGTGCAGTGTTCTGCTTATTTGGTTTTACACTGCACTACTTGCCATAAACACACATGGAATTCTAGGGATCAGTAGAAAGTAAATAATTTTAACTTTGTTCAGACATGAATATGAATAAAGACAGTTACTGTTTAAGAGAATTGCAGGACTTAAGAGTGATCTATTCATATTCTGAAACACAATGCCATTTATTAGTAATGCCTTCCAGAGCTTTCCACTTAACAAAGGTGTATATAACCTGGCTTACTAGAGAAACAGTGTACCATATTAAATTTTCTAGTTCAAGATCCATAATCTATTGCTTAAATATTCCACCACTATGTACGGTAGTATCCAGTTTCAAGTACCACTGACAATTCATTCACTTGGTCACTACCTATAAGACTACAGCTTACAAGAAGCTTTTCATAGCTTCTTTTTTTTTTAATCCTCTCCTTATTCCAATCTGTCATCTTTGACTTTCTCCACATCTCTCTATCACACAATATTAACGAGTAGCTATCAAACCAAGGACAAAACTACTGCCTAGATTGAAGTTATCAACTGAACTTTACCAAAGCAGATCAGTTTAACACTACTATGATGTTATTTTATTCTTAAATATGCTGGGGGGAAACTACAATTCTTTCTTTGTGTAGAGCTTGCAACATGAAAGACTTCCCTGCTCTGTGATCTTGTAAGACAGAGAACCACTTGTTCCTAGTAAGACTGAAATCAAGAACAAAAATATGTTGAGAAATGTGATGTTTTCAATACAAAAGCACCTTAAACCAAAGCAGGAATCGACTAAATACCACTATCTTCGCAAATTATGACCTGGCCCAGATCACCTGGATCTTTTCTAACCATCTTTTGAAATGCACAAATGTGATACATTGAGGAGAAAACATCATGCCTGAGTAAACTCCCCTTCTGTGCGTGGTATTTCAGCGTATGTCAGCAACATCAGCTGATCCCAGCACTTCAAAATTATCTTTCCAGCTCATACATCAGCTCACAACAGAATACTGAGATTGCAGAGAGGTCTCATTTCTCAGAAATGCTTGGTGATTTAAGCTTTTCATTGTAAGAAAGATTACTCGGTGCTGTAGGATGAAGACAACACAAGGCTAAATGCTGGGTCCTGCACTTGGGTCACAACAATGCCAAGCAACGCTACAGGCTTGGGGTAGAGTGGCTGGAAAGCTGCCCAGCAGAAAAGGACCTGGGGGTGCTGGTCAACAGCCGGCTGAACATGAGCCAGCAGTGTGCCCAGGTGGCCACTGGAACGGAGAGTTACGGTGGCCCACATCCTGGCTGGTATCAGAAATTGTGTGGCCAGCAGGAGTAGGGAAGTGATCGTCCCTTTGTGCTCAGCACTGGTGAGGCTGCACCTCAAATACTGCGTTCAGTTTTGGGCCCCTAAGTACAAGAAAGACATTGAGCATGTCCAAAGAAGAGCAACTAAGCCAGTGAAAGGTCTGGAGCACAGGCCTTATGAAGAGCAGCTGAGAGAACTGGGGTTGTTTAGCCTGGAGAGAAGGAGGTTCAGGGGAGACCATATCGCTCTCTACAAGTGCCTGAAAAGGAGGTTGTAGTGAGGTGGATGTCAGTCTCTTCTCCCAAGTAACAAGCGATAGGATGAGAGGAAATGGCCTCAAGTTGCGCCAGGGCAGGTTTAGATTGGTTATTAGGAAAAATTTTTTCACTGTCAGGGTTGTCAAGCATTGGAACAGGCTGCCCAGAGAGGTGGTTGATATGATCTACACCTGCCCAGGTGCAGATGTGGTGCTCAAGGACATGGTTTAGTGGTGGACTTGGCAGTGTTAAGTTCACAGTTGGACTCGATGATCTTAAGGGTCTTTTCCAACCTAAATGATTCTATGAAGCTGGTTGAAGTCGGTTAATACTGCTCTTCCTTATGTTGGAGTATTCTGTGATAAGGAAAAAGGCCTGTATGAGAACTCCTACAAAAACTAGACAACCATAGAAAGTCTTATCATCTTCTGCTTCAGACATAAGATACAAAACCTGCACCAGAGTAACAAAAATCTACTGAACAAAAACTCTTATGCATCAGTCATTGTAGGCCAGAGCAATGCTATGAAAGCAAAAACAGCAAAAAACTTTCTCATTATTATTATTATTAGCTCTGTGGCTAAAGTAACAATGGCTTTGAAAGCATAACTGATAAGGAGCTGCCAGCTAGAGTAATAAGCAAGACTGTTCACAATCTCCAGCAACGACTCCAGTAGCCCTCCTGTATTACTGTAAATATTACCTGTAAAAAAATTACCTGTAATATGGTAAAAAGGTGGATTGTCAGACTAGAAAATATTTGAATAATGAATTCAAAATATTCATCCTTGAAAGACGCTTTGTCTAAACAGCCTGTGGTGCTAATAATGACTGGAGCATGCATATATGCTTATGAATAAAGGAACCAATCAGAAAGCTTACTAGAGCTACATAATCGAAGATGTTAGCCAACAACATATACAATATACGACATTAATAAAAGGTACTAATTATGTAAAAGAATCTTCCAATTCAGATTTCTAATTGTTTAGGTTCCACTGTATGCTAGCTGGCCATCTCTGTGATGTCAGACTTGCTATCTACTGTGCACGTAATTACAACTGTGTAAAAGACTTGGTGCCTAGGTAAGAGCCTGCGGTCCCTGGAAGAAATGAGACTGCACCAGTGATTTGTAGCAGGGGCTGTGCATCCTGGAATCCTAACAAAGTCAAGAGGGGCTGGGGGACAAAAGCTGTTACAGGATGTTACAAAGGCTACCACTTCCAGCAGACTCTGAGATCCGGGGACTCCTCCTTTCCAACTGCTGGAGCCCAGTCCAGTGCACCCTGAGACCCTCTGAGGGCTCTCCATTCCAGGCTGATGAAGACAACTATTGCTTTCCTGTTTCCAGGTTCAACTAGAAGCAAGTTGAGTGCACATCCCAGGGATGCACACAAATACATACATACACAAAGACACACACACCAAGGACACTAGGACGACCAGCTACACAAGCTGCCACAGGCAGGGTACTGCCTTTAACAACACCCCCATATAAGACTATGAGAACTACATAGAACATAGGTACACAGAGTCATAATCCCATTCCTCCTCTCCAGATGATCAGCACTTAAGTTCACTATTGAAAGCACATGCCTCGCTCTAGATTTACAAGCACACCAGCAGTCGCAGATCTCTCAGATATAAGCAGTAGGCCCTCTGCCTGTCTGATATACCTGCCTGGATCTGGAGGTCTCTTACCTGGTATACGGGTTTACTCCTGTTTGCCAGTTAGTCCAGCTTGACCTTCACTAGAAGATTCATGCATTTGTACACTTGTGTCACGAACAGCTTCCACACTTGCAGCTCCTTCATTCACCAGCACGGGCTCTCAGCTTGCCATATATCCAAGCCCAGACCCCAGACTCCCTTATGCACTTCTGGCTCAGACTTCAGGTCTTCCCAGAGAGACGTTTTCCTCCGATTTGCCAGCTAGTCCAGCTTGAAGTTTGCTAGTGAATTACACATATACACACAGAGGAAAACATACTGGTCCCTTCGGTTGCTGGCACCTCAAACACATGGGCCCTACGACCCACGGTCCCTCCATCCACTGACACCCAGATGCTCAGTTGTTGACACCACAGACATGTGGACCACTACTATTTGGGGTCTGACCATGTTGCTGGCACCTAAATCTCTCACTCTAGTCTCTCCAGTTGCTGGCACCTAGACTTTGCAGCACTCACAGATGCAGTAGAGTGTGAAATATCACAGAACAATAGTCAAGAAAGGATTTAACAGCACCTGCAGTGATTAGGCACATGGCTGTCAGACATGTGTACTGACTGGTAGCAACTTACATGCAACCAGCCCCTTTTAAGCCATCCTCTTCTCTGGTCTCCTCCTTGCTCCTTCCCAGTCTCCAATTGCTCCACATCTTTTGACTATTCCCCTAAATATTCCTTAATAAATTTTGCGTAGTACCACAGGCTCCCCTCAACTATCCATAACATTCATGCTTATCTTGTTTCTTCCTTCTCATCAGTTAAAAAGTCCAGGCTGACCCTCTCCAAATCCCGTAAATTAGTGACTGAAGAGTTTTGGTCTTCCATTTTGTCTCTGTTTTGGTCTTCCATTTTGTCTCTGTTATCACTTATCTCATTCAGTCTTTGTCTATTGTTTTCCCTTTTACTTATTACTCCCTTTAAACTGAAAAAAGACTATAACCTTAATGAAACAGATGCTCCCACATTGCACATATCCTTACAGTAACCAGTGTGACTGACAATTATTTGGACCATCATGGAAGTTTGCAACTGAAAGGGTACAATCACTTTTACAGGTATGGTACATGATTAAGAATCATGCATACCTGTGGATACTCTGTAATAATATGACTGGGATTATGATCTTCCTTCAGGCCTCAGCCCCTCAAAAACCATACAGCCATATCACTGTAGTAACATGAAGGAGGACACTCCAGCCTTATTATTTCAAGCACTGCAGTGCAAGGAAACAGCTGCCCTGAGTCTCATGTTGTTAGATGTGTGCTACAGTCCATTACTTAATGCAGGAATGATGCAGCAGTCAAGGCAACTTCCATGGCTATTGGAAGGTTAAAGCCCCTGTCTGTGTAGAGGTCTGCTAAAAACCAAGAAAAAAATAAACCTTAAACCAACAAAAACCCCACCCAACCAACAAAAAACCATTTACGATTAGTAGACTTTTCTGCAACCCCTTGCCCCTACTTGTCCAGTAAAGAACTTGTACCTTCCGGCCTCTTAACTTCTTGAATCCTTTTAAGAGCTTTTTCTATAGTGAG